TAGGTACCCCAACTGTACCAGCATTGACGGACCCAAACTGTCCCAGCATTGCTATACCCCAATGGTCCCTTCATTGCTGGATCCCAAATAGTCCAGCATTGCTGTACCCCAATGGTCCCATCATTGTTGAATCACTATTTTCCCATTATTGCTGGACTCCTATTTTCCCAGCATTGCTGGACCTTAAATCCACAGTTGCTGGGCTTGGGCATCTGCGTGGCTCCCGCTGCCCGCCACGGCAATAAATCGAAATCGAAGGAATCAATCGAATGTCTACTTTCATTTAGAAATGCATTTTCATTCAGAACGATAGAGTTCACTAGACCGAATAGAGTCGCATCTGCGATGTACGTTATAATATGCAATTATTTAACGTTTTTTTATACCTCAAATCCTCGTAATTCGTTTACAAGAATCTAATTGAAATGCAAGTAATGAATAAAACCGAAAATCAATCAAAAGTAATTTTCAATTATACGTGTTTTTAACGTGAAATCTTGTATATATTTGTCAAAGTTTGTAGGTTTGTGTGCGGATTTGGCGTGTGTGAAGCTTTTTCCTAAAGGCTTCAGTAAAGTAAAGGATTGGCTCAAAATTTGAAACTCGTTTCTGAAATCTGTATGTATGCATTTAATTCAAACGACGCAAAATAGTTTTTTCCATATTTTGAAACGAGAGTAAAATAGGCGCTCTTTCTTCTATGTAGAAGTCCGGTTTGGAGGATCCTTTTTATAATTAGAATACTTGAGTTTTATTAGTATTAATGTTATTTATAATTACGAGAAGGATGGGATTGAAACTCCGAAGTTTTGGGAATTATCAAGCCCGGGCAGCGCCAGGCTAACCTGCCGGTTTAGAATTAATACTAGAGATCAAAATTCCCATATAATCCTCATAAATCCCCATAAGTACTCAAGAATAATGAATAACGAGATCTCATAGACATATGTTTGACACAACCTACACTGGTCAATTTTCAGTCAGAATTATTACTTACTTCAAACGACTCGTCTGCTCAAGCTTCCCTTTAATCTACCCACTTATTTCTGAATGCCTTGTATATGGCACCTTGATCCTTAATAAGTTTCAGTCCTAAATTCCACCTAACCTGATCATACCGATGGTCGTAATATCAATGGCCAATTACATGCCGCTGGACGCCTTTAATTCGACGATATTGTTCTTATGAGGTATTGACCTAGCCTCGGGATCAAAAGGCATGTTGGGATAAGTGGGCTTCTATGCTTCCTCACGCGCCTTTCATTACAGGCCTTCTGTATTGCACGCAATGAGCCTTTTGCCTTTGATGAGTGCTACCAACGCTGCTGTATCGGTGCTACCAACGCTGCTGTATCGGTGCTACCAACGCTGCTGTATCAGTGCTACCAACGCTGCTGTATCAGTGCTACCAACGCTGCTGTCTCGGTGTTACCAACTCTGCTTTATCGGTGCCAATAACGCAGCTGTATCGGTGATGTCTAGCAGATAGTATCATTTTTTTATTATAGTAATGGCGCTTTCATGCGAATGTGATCAGTTATTATATATAGGTACCAGAATTCGGGTAAAAACAAAAAATGTTGCACTTGACAGCTGATTTGAACGTCGCCTAGCCAGTTGGCACAAAGCCTATAAACGTTGCATGAATCACACACACTAAACAACTGATGTTAACGTCGTCCGTCAAGACCAATAAACGTTTCATTAATCACACACACACACTAAACGGCTGATGTTAACGTCGTCTGTGGAGGCCAATAAACGTTGCATTAATCACACACACTAAACAGCTGATGTTAACGTCAATTTACCGGCCAATAAACGTTGCATTAATCACACACACTAAAAGTCCCGCTGGTCTCTAATTTGCGTGGCCTTGAGTTTCGTGCATCACGCAAACATTGATTTTATCCGCTACGAATTCGTGAAGTTTTTCCGCGTTTGGTCTTCTGGTGTTGTTGCAGAGGATAAGTTTCCTGATGAAAATGATGTTCGTACTGGAATTTTACGTCTTTGAGCTGTAAAGCTTGATTCAAATGAGTTATTAGTGTATGAATGCTTTACGTTTTTCTATAATTTCAAGTATTTCGTCCTGTTTTTGTTTAAAGTGTAATCTCAAAATACAAACTAAGGTTCAAAATTTATGATATTTTTCTCCATTACTTTTTGAATAGATATTTCTTTCCGATTATTGTAATGTTATTATAACTTTATGATTTCCCTCTTCTTTTTTTAGTTCTTTATTTATAGGTATAGATATCTCAAATCGTTTCGAATGAGAACATTCAAACATGAACAATCCGAGTGTTGGTAGTAACGATTTCGCTTCTACCCTAATCCTTTATATCCTCAAATCTTTCCATTTTTATCCAATAGACTATGTGCGAAATTGTGGCCGGTGTTTGTGTGGCCACTTATACAATGGTCATGGCTGGCTGCTTGAAGACTACTTTGATTTCCAATTTTAATTCCAAAATAAACCTAATATCTAATTACTTTACTGCCGTATTCATGTCCGCAAAATTGCAAATGTATTAGACGCGGGGAACAAATATTTTCTGTAAATATGACCGAAAAATTTAATCTGTGTACGGTTATCACATTGCCGAGCACTACGATAGTGATTAACGGTTTAAGTATGATACGAACGCGCATTGCATGTTATCACTAGTAAAGGCAATATAGTATATACGACATTATTATACGGCTACTTAATGTACTCTACAAGCTGTGCATTGACATCAAATTTCTTGATGTGTTTTCTGTAGATAAATTCAGCGGTTTAAGTATTATGTTGGATGCATAGTGATTATATCAAATATCAAATTTAAGATTGAGATATCAAATAAGATAAGATATCAAATTTAAGATTGGTTGTGTGGCCTATCTATAAACTATGAGATGGTGTATAGTCATTCTATAAAGTATGAGTTTGGTATTGTGGCTAATGTGTAAGTATGCCATTGATTATTTACAGAACGGTTAAGTATCAGTTTGCCTATACACTGAACAGTCAATATATAAAGTGTGAGATTCGATTTACATTCCATATATTAAGTATGAGATTAAATTTACAGTCAGTACATAAAGTATGGGATTAGATTTACAGTCAATATATATACTATGAGATCGGATGTACAGTTAGGATATGAAGCATGAGATTAGTTTTTACAGTCAATATAAAGTACGAGATTGGTTGTATGGTTAAGATATAAAGCATGAGATTAGTTTTTACAGTCAATATATAAAGTATGAGATTGGTTGTACGGTTAAGATAGACATCGGCATGAGATTAGTTTTTACAGTCAATATATAAAGTATGAGATTGGTTGTACGATTAAGATAGACATCGGCATGAGATTAGTTTTTACAGTCAATATATAAAGTATGAGATTGGTTGTTCAGTCCTCGCCAAAAGCCACGATATCGAACGTCGGGCTCGCTTTGATCTCTCGCCCGCGTCGCTCTCAGTCGGTAAAAGCTTCCCCCCCGAGCGGACCTCTCGAAAATGACGTTTCGGGAAATATCGGTCGCTTTTTACATCATTTGGGCAAAACTTGAGTACATACATAACTTGAGCACACATACCTAGCTACTGCTGTATCAATATGTGCTTGAGAATGTCCTCAAATGTTACTCGTATAGTTGTTATTAACGTTAAAATGCGTGGGGGAAAGTGTGCTATTATATTTTATAACCTAATATACGGTATTATGTTATCTAATATATTACATTATCTAATATTTTATGTTATCTTATAAAACTATTATTAGATTTGAATACTCAGGGAAGATGTATTTTAAGTTAACTGTATTTAGATTTGAATACATAGTGGAAAATTACCCAAAATAAGTTGTATCGGTGCTACCAACGCTTATACCGCAAATTTAGGTTGGAATAATTGGGGAACACGTTTTTCAAGTAAACGCCAATCAATGTTTCTGTACTCTGGTATAATTTATCATACAAAAGACTCGTCTTGACAATAAATGAAATAGTATGCTACAAGTGTGTATCCCGACTAAGCGTTGCGACGACAGCAATTATCTTGGTTTTTGCGACGAAATATTGACTTTAAATTCTGCATGTCTGTGCGCTCTTGATATAGAATTTTAATAATCTCTTAATATAGATTCTAATAATGGAATCTCTTAGTATAGATTTTTAAAAATTGTTGGGAAATTAGGAAAATGGCTTAAAATGACAATATTACGGTTAATAAATTATGGTATAATTGATATTTTTCAGTGTGAACGATCGGATGTGCTCTTACTGTAATTAGCACGTGTACCGGCGTGTGCCGTAGGAATAACATGTGATACAGGAATGTGTACCAGAGTGTGCCGTAGGAATAACATGTGATACAGGAATATATTGCCCTCTCAAGGTTGTTTAATTTCGAGGAAGTTAGTCTTTGAAAAGTGAGCACTTATAAATTTGTGACACTGATTTATAGATTTCTTCACAAAATTTAGGAGTTGAATACATTCGGTTTGTTAATTCTGTTACCTACTGATATCGTATATCCTCCGAGTGCTGCAGAAATGGAAGGGAGAAAGGCTTTCTTGTAATGCAGGTGCTGTTAAATACCAGCAATAAACATACTGTATATCAAGTGACTAGATTATGAATGTGAAGATAATTCTATTATCTAACTTGTTAGTTAAAAATAATTAGAATACCTAAATTGTTAAACGTTAGTCATTTGTGCAAGTTAAAATGAGGTGTATAATCATTTAAGTGCAAATTTCGCGATATTTCTTCAAGAAATTCAGTGCAGTGCTAAATCCAGGGAAGGGAGTCCTACGATGAATTAAATCTCAGGATTTTAGAGGATAATTGCGACAAAAAAAATAGTGTAACAGATGTAAATACGCTGCTGGAAAGTGTGGCAATGGCTTGTGTTGCTTTGTGCGGTTAGTTCAAGGCTAACTTTGTGGTGCGTAAGTTACGCAGAAGTCGGCCGGGAATATGTCGGTTNCGGTTAGTTCAAGGCTAACTTTGTGGTGCGTAAGTTACGCAGAAGTCGGCCGAGAATATGTCGGTTTTGATCGCGTTTGCAGTGATCGTCCTAGCGTCCCCTCCATCGCTGATGGCGGCCCCCGGTGCCGACCCGGGGGTCTTTGGCGGGGTGCCCATAATCGACGAGAAAGGTGAGTGTTCAATATTTACTAAAAAGTAATAGTATATTTTTTATAAGCATAATCTCCCATATTTAATATGACCTTTATCGTTCCAGAGGACATAAAAAATTCTGATATCCCCGACTCTATTCATTTATTCTCCAAGTTCCATTCATTTATTCTCCAGGTTCCAGCAGATCACTTCAGTTTTTTCACTCAAGTTTGGTTTAGTTAAGTAAGTTTCAATTCATTCAGAAGTAATTGTTTAATTAATTAAAATCGGGATTTATTTTAAGAAACGGTCTGGTGGATATGTTAGGCTGTGTTCAGTTCGGTTAGGTTAGGTTAGGTTAGGGTTTTTGGCTAGGTAAAACTAATGTAAGAAATTTTTAAATACTAATGATACACACAGGAAAAGGCCACAATTGGGGGATTGCTGTGTATAGTAGGAAATGTGTGGCAAGAAAAAGAAGAGAGTAAAAGAAAAAAATTCATTTATTCTCCAGGTTCCAGCAGATCACTTCGGTTTTTCCACCCAAGTTTTGGTTGAGTTAAGTAAGTTTCAATTTATTCAGTTAAGTAAGTGTAATTAATTAACATCGGAATTATTTTAAGTAACGGTCTTGTGGATATGTTAAGCTTTCTTCAGTCCGGTTAGGTTAAGGTTTTTGGCTAGGTAAAACTAATGTAAGAAATTTTTAAAAACTATAATGATACCCACAGTAAAGGCCACAATTGGGGAATTGCTGTGTGTAGTAGGAAATGTATGGCAAGAAGGAGAGAAAAAGAAAAAAAGTATTGTGGCTGATCTGGTAAGATCGGTCTAGAAGGAGAGAAAAAGAAAAAATTGAAAAAGTATTTTGGCTCGAATGGTTGTAATAAGATCAGCAGGTTCAGTCGATCTTATACAACCGCACATATTACTGCTACACATTCTTCGGTCTTATAATGACCTGCTGGCTACAGCTACACCTTGATGACTCCAGCTACACCTTGATGACTCCAGCTACACCTTGATGACTCCAGCTACAATGTAGCGGTATCAGAACTCAGTGGCTGAGACGCAGACAGCGCAGGTTTCGCTTCCTCAGCGGTGCTGTGGTTTTTGTGCGTCACTTGAGACTCGGCGAGCCTCGGATTCAGCGAGCCTCAGATTCCCTGTTAATAATCTTATATGTGGCCGACAAATTGCCGACGCTTGTTTTGCTTCAATTTTCAATAAGGTTAGCGCCTTTTTTACCTGCCGGGATACCTTCATAAAAATTATTTGTTTATATATTCAGTCGTTCAGAGGCGATAAATGGCCATCTGTTTTTAGCTTATAGTTTATTGTAGAAACTGCAGTCGTAGAAGCAATTTAATTATACAATGGCCTCCGGGCGAACATTCTCGGCCCCGGCTTTATATGAAAATATTTATTGGCCTCGTGTTGGCCATTCATAACCCCCCCCCTTACTTTTTATCCACTCTTGAGCATCGGTGTTGAATTACATCGCTGGATTGTCGACTTCTTACTCGTCCATTCATGTTCTTCGGAAGTTTCCACCCGATTTATTGTATAGTTGAATATTTTACCAAGCCATCGGTGTATATTAATTTGACTGAATTTTGACGGACATTGCGGTCAATATTTTGTGTTAAGTTATCCGAATGTTATTTTTACCGTAGATTTTGACAGTAATTCCGGTAAGGTATTGCGATTGCAGTGAATATTAGCAAGTTTTGTCGGGTCTTCTACGGCCGCCGATATCGCGGCCATGATTTCTCTCACAGTTGACTTGTTCTCAGCCACACTGGATTCACTGTCGCGCCAAATCCAATGATGACGGCAGCTCTTCTATGAATACCAAGTGAATGGAAGCTATTGGCAGATCCGAAATTAAATATTTCGGTCACGGTAAAGGTGGCCAACCCAACGCCGCTCTTAATGCGTCTACTATTTCAAATTGGGATAGCCTGAAGCTGTCCACCCTTGCGCTGAGGTTAATTTTCTCGAATTAAACGTGCAATTGTGTTTAAAATCAGAGGCGTGTCAGTCCCGGCCAGTCACTGTGCATTGATTGGCCGCTGGTAATCCTCCTATAAAATGCTGCAGGGATATATCATCCCGTGAGTGTTTATTAGGCTGAAACTGAGTTGATTATGACGCATAATGGCACGGAGTGGCCCTCAGTGTAGCTGCAAATTGCGCTCGAATGAATGAATCGTGTTGCGTAACTGTGTAAATTGTAAGGCTAGGAAAATGCATTCGAAATTTTTTGCTTCAATTTCAAAAAAATATCCAAATGTATTTTTCCAAATTTTCTTGTCGTTTCCAGTCATATCCTAATATCAAACTATAATGATCTTTGAAATGTTTTGATAATGTTAATGCTGCTGATGCTTCTGCAGTTCTTAATATCCATTTGATAATGCTTCTGAAATTGTAGTACTAAATTATACATGGTTGCATTAAATGAATTGTGCAGCTACATTAATTATTCTCAGACATTTAAAATAGTCGTAGTAATGAATCCTTACTATTCACTCTGCTTGTATAGAAGCCGGCTATGAATTTCAATAGCTTTGCTCCTCTTTATTTTAAATTTTAATAATATTATTAAATAAAATAGTTTTTAATGTTGATAAGCATTTGTTTCTATCGACCACTCATTTTTGGCTGAATGAATTAGTCATCGTTCAACCACGTTTGATTATCGTGTAATCACAGAGCTTTGGCGTGTAGTTATATGGCTTTGTCGTGTAGTTACATGGCTTTGTCGTGTAGTTACACCCGCCTTTATCGTGTAGTTACACGACTTTATCGTATAGCCAAACGGCTTTCTCGTATAGTCACACAGCTTTGTCGTGTAGTTACACGGCTTTGTCGTGTAGTCACAACACATACGTTGTAATTTGTAGCGTCACGATCATCTGCAGGTCATTCAGTCTACGTATGGGTGATAAAAGTTTTCGTGTATCCACATCAATTTGGTATGAAGCTGCAAAAATTTATCGTATAACTCATTCAATATGTTGTTCAATAAAACTGTTGTCTTAATAGCTACGTAGATCATGTGTTAATCTAGCCGTCTAGCGAGACCTACACACACTCATACAAATGAGTTAGACGATGTCCAAATAGCAATGCACTCTTTTTGCCCTTGTTTGGGTCATTTCGACCCACTTTGATCCGGCAAAAAGTCGTATCAGTGCTACGTGCGGAAAGCGTCACTATTTAGACATTATCACTCATTAATTTGTCTGGGTGCTTGATTGCTGCCTGCTCATTACCCCTGCTCATTGATGCTGCTGCTCAATACTCTGTCATGCTCACTTCTCAGCTCTATACTTTGATCTCCATTAAGTATATTTGTAGTATAACTAGATAAATTTATCCTAAAACTCATTTAATCTTTTCTCCGGTAACACAATTGTATTAATTAAGTCGCCATATAAATAATGTGTTGATTATTAGAGATTATAATATTATAAGACATGCAAAATCCCGTCTCACAACCCTTGAAGGCTCATCGATGCTTCGTTCATCGCTCACTCTGATTCTGCTCATTGATCGCCATAGAGTATATACTTAGAGGCGCTGTTTCCTTCGTCGCCTTCAATATCCATGATCCGAGGCGCTGCAGGATCATATTTCCCCAAGTTTTACGAGGCCTTAGAGTCGTTTTCAAGTTTCCCTAGGATCTCCTTTAACTAGTTTATAGCCATTAACGGGCTCTTGGTGATGGCGAACAGGGTAACTTCTGGCCAGATTTACCCCCATTTTCTTTACCTATCTACCCCGTCTTGACAGATTTACCCCGTTTTTGGGTGCATTTTCTGACACAAAAACGTAGGACGACGAGACGTGTGGCGACGAGGCGTGTGGCAACGAGACGTGTGGGGACGAGACGTGTGGCAACGAGACGTGTGGCGACGAGACGTGTGGAGACGAGACGTGTGGCAGCGAGACGTGTGGCAGCGAGACGTGTGGCAGCGAGACGTGTGGCAGTGAGACGTGTGGCAGTGAGACGTGTGGCAGCGAGACGTGTGGCAGCGAGACGTGTGGCACCGAGACTTGTGGCAGGTGTAGGTGTGGTGGCTGAAGACTTGGTCTGTTTTGTGTGCCTCATACATGGTGTGTTCCGTTATAAATTACCGTATTAATTGAGACACTATTGAGTTTATACAAGAGTAGTTATTTGTATTTTTTTGCATATTTTCCATTAGTGTATTAAGTTTTGCTGCCGAATTGTAATTTTGCCATAATTGCTTGTTTTCATGACTAAGGGAATCCATGATCAGTTGAAACATTTTGCGTACACTGCATTAGGAAGTCTTTTCTAATGATAGAAACTAAGCCAAGTCTAAGCTATCTATTATCTAATTGTTTTCTTTTTCCACTCAACAATAACAATTGTTTTCGTACTAATACAATTGTTTTCGTACCAGACATATCATATTTTCATGCACATGTTTACTACAGACGCGTCATGTCGGCCATCGCAGTTCAGTTCATTTCTCTCCGCGCCATAAGGTCCGCTCCTCCAAAGGGTCCGGTCGCATCCGTGATGAATTCCTTCGCGGGTCATGGCTCACCAGCTGAAGAATTTTACTCGAATTATTATATAGTATTAATTGATATTTAACGTTGAAATTGATTGTCGTATCAATTGATTAATTGATATTTAACGTTGAAATTGACAGTTACAGATTTTTTTATCGGAAAACATATCGAAAATTAAACTCTGTACAAATATCGATTCTCTTTTGCTTTTCTGTGGCTCATCCTGTCCCAGTTTGGCCCAGTAATAGAGTGTACCAATGCGATGTAATAGGTAGTGTGTCACTACTTTGACAATATGACCTTTACATTTTTCTGAGTATTAACGACTGGCCAGTGTAAATATGTGCTCAATTATCAGTATGGACGAGGGTTGCCCTCGTGTACACATAAGCTCGTTACGCGCCCTCGCTGTGCGTCATTGCGAGTACAGCGCGTTTTTGAGGAACTTCTGAGCTGTCTGCTGCATACGAGCGACATAACTTTG